CCCCCCCCCCCCCCCCCCAGATGAACATGAACACCCTGGAACAGGTAAATTAAGGCATCAACACAGTAAACACATAAGCATCCACTCAGATAAACCCAGGTAAGTTGAGGTGGCAATGCAATAGACGGGCACAGGCAATAATACAGGTAAGTTCTGATAATGGGAGTAAACATGTATAGGTAATGAAAACAGGTAAACTAATATAAACCCCCTTAAGAAGTACCCAGAACTATATTAATATCAACAATACAAAGCAAACATCAATCACAAAATATGAGGTGCGCTCAGCACCCCCACGGGGTGTTCCCTGGAGTCCTTCTCATTAGGCCCCTGGACATGGACCCCCCCCTCCCCCTCCAAAAGGGAGGAGGGTGGCTGCTGCAGACCCTTCTCTCCTGAGCCCTGCTCCCCAGTGGGACCCACTTCCCCAGCAACTCGCATTCCCACTCTGAAGCAGACAAGGCTCATCTCCTGGTGGCCAGTCCCGCAAGGGCCTCTCTCCAGCGGTGCCTCTGGCTCCTCTTGATGGCCTGGTGCCCTGCTCTGGGCCCTCCCGGCCTCCCACTGGGGGTCTTTTCCTTTCCTGGGCCCTGCTCTGGGCACTGGGGCTCTCTTAATTTAATGCTGAGACACTGCGGGGCTCCGGTTACCTGGCCTAGAGCTGGGGCTAACTTGAGCAGCCTTGAGCTGCTCTCAAGGCTGACTTCCTGTGCACTGACCTGCGCACCATGTAGGGCCCGAGCAGCCTCAAGCTGCTCCCAGGGCCAGCTCTCTGTGCGCCGATCCACGTATCACCCCACCCAGCCGCTTGCCAGGTTTGTAGGCTCAAGCAGCTCCCAGCGCCTGAGTGCCGTACGCTGATCCATGCACCGTCGAGGCTCACGTGGGGTCTCGATGACCATCTTGTCTGGAGCTTCTCTCTCCTTCCATCCCTCACCACGTCTGCTGTACAACGTGCCGAGCATGCTCTTCTTTTATGGCAGACCTGCCATACTGCGTTCCACAATCCTTCAGGAAAGGGGTGGTGCCTGCTTTCCCCAGGTTGTTCCTGATTGCTGGATTGGCTCCACCCATTGGAACTGAGGATTCCTGAGCCCCTGGACATGTTGGAGCTCAATCGGGTAGATCTGTCACAGCTGTGTAGACCAGTAGCTTTCAACCTTGTTTCATTTGTAGACTCCTTTGGAAACTTTGAATGGAGATGTGGACCCCTTTGAATT